GTTAGCCCATTCTTGGGTTCTGTGTGTCTGCTGCTGTTTTGTACCTTCAGTTTTTGCTTTTTTCTTATACTCCACAGATGAGTGAAATTATTTGGTATTTGTCTTTCTCTGCCTGGCTTATTTCACTGAGCCCTCTAGCTCCATCCATGTTGTTGCAGAGGGTAGGATTTGTTTTCTTTTTATGGCTGAATAATATTCCATTGTGTATATGTACCACATCTTCTTTATCCATTCATCTACTGATGGACACTTAAGTTGCTTCCATTTCAGCTATTGTAAATAGTGCTGTGATAAACATAGCAGTGCATGTCTTTTTGAAACTGGCATCCTGCATTCTTAGGGTACATTCCTAGGAGTGGAACTTTAGTTTTTTTGAGGAACCTCTCCATACTGCTTTCCACAACGGTTGAACTAGTTTACATTCCCACCAGCAGTATAGGAATAATTCCCTTTTCTCCACATCCTCGCCAGCATGTTGTTCCTAGTCTTTTCTATGTTGGCCATCCTAACTGGTGTGAGGTGATACCTCATTGTGGTCTTAATTTGCATTTCCCTGATAATTAGTGGTGTGGAGCATCTTTTCATATGCCTGTTGGCCATCTGAATTTCTTCTTTGGAGAAGTGTCTGTTCAGATCCTCTGCCCATTTTTCAATTGGGTTATTTGCTTTTTGGGTGTTGAGGCATGTGAGTTCTTTATATATTTTGGATGTTAACCCCTTGTCGGATATGTCATTTACAAATATATTCTCCCATACTGTAGGATGCCATTTTGTTCTGTGGACGGTGTCCTTTGCTGTACAGAAGCTTTTTAGTTTGATGTAGTCTCATTTGTTCATTTTTTATTTTGTTTCCCTTGCCTGAGGAGATGCGTTCAGGAATAAATTGATCATGTTTATAATCAAGAGATTTTTGCCTATGTTGTCTTCTAAGAGTTTTATGGTTTCATGACTTCTATTCATATCTTTGATCCATTTTGAGTTTACTTTTTTGTATAGGGCTAGACAATAATGCAGTTTCATTCTCTTGCATGCAGCTGTCCAGTTTTACCAACACCAGTCTTTGAAGAGGCTGTCATTTCCCCACTGTACGTCCATGGCTCCTTTATTGTATATTAACTGATTATATATGCCTGGGTTTCTATCTTGGCTCAAGCTATAGGTTTTTCGGAGATAACTTTTACCAAGCTAAGAAACTTCCCTTATGTGCCTAATTTATCAAGAGTTATTTCTTCAGCATGAATATGAGCAATTACATTTTATCAAACTGTTTTTCTAAACATACTATATCAATTTAGGTAGGTTTTTTTACCCCATATGATAATTACTTGGTATATTATAGCAAAAGGTTTTCTATTATTAAACTATCCATGCTTGCTAAGGTAAAACCTCCAAGTCTTAAAAATGCATTGAACTCAAATGGCTAAATTTTGAGTTATTTGACATTTTCTATCACTTATTTTTGTATTTAATTTGTTTCTACTTTTATTATTCCCTTCTTCCTAATTACTTTTAGTTTGGTCTTTTTCTGGATTCTACTGCTTTTGCTAATATTAGTACATTTAAGACTGCACATTTATTCAAATAGTGCCCTAGTTAGCTCCAATATTTTTACTAACATTGCTTTCACCAACATTCACATTTCAACTCTGTATAGTATAGTTTCTCTTTATCACATGAATTATTTAAATGTGCCTTTTCACACTTGTGAGTATAAAGTAATTTATAAGGGGAATTTATTTTGTGTACGTCAACATTACTTGCACTGTCATCAGAGAAGAGGGTCAGACATTCCTCAATGAAATATTTCAAGATTTTCTTTTAATCCTCATTATTCTACAGTTATACTATAGGATCAAAAATTATGCAATTATTTTCACTTAGTCATTCCTGAGAACAAACTCTGGATACAGGGAAATGTGTCTGGAAACCTCTTGAAAATTATCTCTTCAAAATTATGTCTCTTCTATTTCCTCTGATTTCTTCTACTGGCACATTTTGGAACCCTTTCAATTCATACTAAAGTCACTTAACTGTTCTTTCTTATTTAGTTGTTTCTTTGGGGTACATTCTAAATGAAGGTCAATTCCTGAATTCTTGCTTTGATCACACTGTAGCTTTATTTCCTCAGGAAAACTAACTGGCTGAGTTTATCCCCTTTTTTGCACTAGAATTTCTTCTTTCATCTCTCTAGCATCTTAAATATACTAATTTATTTCTTGTACTATTCATCCCTTCCAATCTAATTGTTTCTGTGATTACCTGTGCTTATCCACTGCAGAACTTAGAACTTCCTACTCTAAGGTAATATTGGAGATTTTTATAGACTTAGTCACCACCCAAGTAAGTAGTCATTTCAATTCAGGTCCTAGTTATCGGATTATGCCTGTCTTCTCCCTTCCACAGGTCCTTGATTTCTTGTTAAGTGAGGTTTTAAATCATTATCCAAACTAGGACCCAATAAAGGAGTCTCCATTAATAACTACATGAATGATAAGTATAAACTGAAAGTCTCAAGGGTAGTCTAATATATGATCACCCTAATCATAAGCCTTCACCTATGCAGCAGTTAGGCTTTCTTCAGTCTCTTTCACAAGTATGGAGACCCATGTGATGCCCGGGATTCATGAAATAACCTGACTCTATTCCTCCATTCTTCATGAAGCACTTTAAATCCTTTTAACCCACAAAGGCCAAACTCTTGGCTACAAGTATCAGCTTCTCTACTCTAGACTCAATCTTGCTTACTACTTTGTAGTTTTTCTTCTATATGCCACAGAAACATTTTTAGTTTCTAACTCATTAATGTCTGTCTGTATTTTTTAAAACATTTTATCCATCATTACTTAATGTTTACGTGAGGATATAATAGTGAAATTAGTGCTCCACCTTCAAAAAAAAGCCCTTTATCACCTTTTTAAACATGGATTTCCTTTGCTCAGCAACCACTATCATGAAGTTATGTGATAAATCCAAAGACTCCTACATGTACATTTCAGATGGATATACAGGCATACTTGAGAAATAGTGCAGGTTTTGTTCCATACCAATGCAATAAAGCAAGTCAAATGAACTTTTTTGTTGCCCAGTGAATATAAGTTATATTTACAGTATAATGTAGTCTATTAAAAGTGTACAATAGCATTATGCCTAAAAAAAAATGTCCAGAATTTTAAAAACACCTTAATGCTAAAAAAAAAAATCTGAGCTTTACCCATCATCTGAGCTTTCAGTGAGTCATAACCACTGGTCACAATTCACCATAATAGTAATAAAAAAGTTTAGAATATTGTCAAAAATACCAAAATGTGACATAGAGACACGAAGCAAGCAAATGTTGCTGGAAAAATGGTAACAGTAGACTTGCTAGACGCAGGGCTGCCAAAAACGTTCAATTTGTACTATTTTCAACAGAATACAACTATGCTTAGTAATTATCTTAAATATATTAATTTCTTTTTAAAGAAAGAAGGAAAGCAGCCCAAATAAAAGCTGTTTAAATAAATCATGGCTCAGTCATGTTAGGGGTTAGTATACAGATTTAAAAGCTGGTACTGAGCTTTAATACATATCATATGTATGTATTAAATTACTTTTACATATACAAATATCTTACAAAATAAAGCTTCATAGGAAAAAATGGAAGCAAACTACTGAAATGAAATTTAAAAATTTTTACATAAAAGTAAACAATTTTTGTGTTTAAACTTCCACCTAAAGGTTGGAAGCAATAAAGTAGATCTCAAAAATTAGTATTTCTACCGTTTATTGACAATTTTTCTATTAAGGTATAATAAACTGTCAAGCTTAATGGCTAAAGACCACTTCATCTACTTGTAAGTTATATAATTTACAGTTTGTCTACTGCTTTGCATAACCGTGAATTCAGTGTGTCCTGTACCTTTTAGCATCATCCCACTACTCCACTCCTTCCCTTCCCACACAAATTTCAAGACATTTGAACACATCAATCTGGTAACATAATCTAATAAAGGAGTAAACACTAAACTCCCTTAAGGAATTCAAAAGTAAATACAGGTAAAAATAGAAAGCATATTAATGAAAAGTTGCCTGCTTTTAGTTCTAAAACTGAATGTTATATAAATTAGCAAAATTTCAAACTTAAACTGAAAATGAAGTATCAAGAATGAATAGCAAATAAAAACTTAAAATATTATCAGTCATGATCTAAGAATGCAAATTAAAATAATGAATTATCATTTTCACCAATATTATCAAGTAATTCTTAAATATAAAATATCTAATTGCTAACTATACTTCCTGTGAAAGATAAAACCAGTACAAGTTTTTGGAAAGTAATACAGTATTTATGTATCACACAGCTAAGAAATACCTTTTAACCAAATAATTCCAACTCTAGCATTTTAAAATGAAAAAAAAAAATAAACACAAATGAAAAAATTTTTAAGTGAAAAAAAGGTAAAGACCACCTAAAGGAATAGTTTTATCTTTATATAAAGACAATTTTTATCTTTATAATGAATTGGTAAGAAGCCAACAAAAACGTGCTCCTGCACAGTATTTAGTATTTGTTGAGTGAAGGAGGAGAGAGAAAAAAGAGTAATAAGGTTATAAAAGATCACATACACAAAATAATGATGAAATATTGTGATTGCTCCTAATTCACTACTTAGGAATGCTTTTTTACACCCTTTTTCCTTTAAAATATTCTTCGAAGCAAATGTTACTTACATTAAGTCAAATTCTAAGAACATACATTACTAAAGCAATAAAAATTCTCCCATTTATATGCAAGCACTTTTACTTAGAACAATGTAATCTAAAGTGCATCTTACTATTAAACAAAAATGCCTTTCCTGACCCTTCTTACAAAACAAGCAAACAAAGAAAACCTTTAAGGATAAACATCTTGATCACATAAATCAATGAGCATATAAAATGGGAATATATACATGAACAGGTTTCATTTAGGTTACTGCCTGTATTGCTTTATAAATAAAATAAAAACACTTAGAATTTACCTGCATTGCACTTTTCCCCAGTTTCACCACTTCAAATAATGTGACAGGCTCCCCTTCACCATTCTGTTGAGGGTGCCCATTTGCTCTTCCACGGCCTGTTCCTCTAACTCCAGCTTCAATTCTACTCTTCTCTCCTGGAGATTTTCGAGGTTTCTTATTTGTAGACTGAATAAAAAGATAAGGAAAAAATTAAATGAAAAATGCAGGCGTACTCCACTTTATGCAGAATCATCTCAAATTATGTTTGATCCCTGAAAGGTAATTAGCACTACTACACAGAAGAGACATAATCCCTGACCAAATTTACAATTTGCTTTCAGTGATAAAAGGGGGAGGGGGGGCACAAACAGCAAAATTTTATATAGAGCATGAAAATAAAGTAAAAAAAGGGATTTAGTATTTTGTATAATAATAATGCCAATGATGAAAATTTTAACCATGCCCCTTTTGACATTTCCTTATTTATACCTTCCTCAATACTCTCCTACTTCCTCAGAAACTTTGTTCAATAAAACATTACTTAGAAATGCTACATATTCAATTTCTCCCCCTACGGAAGTGCTCGAGTATTTCTTATCCAGTTATGCAACAAATATACACTGAACATATCTGGAACCATTCTATGTACTAGAAAAACAGCAATAAATTACAAAACAAATATTCCTGCCTTGATGCTTACATTCTCCAATTAACATCCCATATTATGTCCCCAAATTTTTAAGAAGTCAACACTAGTTACCAGGCTATCTATGTCTCAGTCATAGATACCCTTTACAGTCAAGGGTAATTTGGTAGAATTGCTTGTAGTCACTGTTATTATTCCCATAAATGTCATTCATATATATAACTCATGGTTGCTACTTTAGCAAACTCACCAATGAAATTAATGCTATTAAATATAATAAACATTTCTTGAAATTCTCAACAGGTCACGATTCTCCCTTTCATTTCAAATTCTCTTCCCTCCCTATATTCCTTACCTGTTAGTGTTACCATAGTTTGTCTCTCCTGAGCATCTTCTCCATCTTGTTCTCAATCTTCTTCTCTTTTGATTGACTTAATTCACTTTCATAACAGCCTGTTTCTGTTATCAATTCATTGCCCTTTGTCTCCATATCTACCCTTATTTGTCCCACTTTGTGATGCTGGAGCTGAACCCTGCAAACATTTTTCTTTTGTTATCCGCTGCAGTGTTAGGCTTTGTAAGGAGAGGGTACTGGAGAAACAGTACAAAGCATAGCACTGGAGGGGCTGGCTCTCACTGCTTACCCTGCCTGCTCCCTTCATTTTCTATTCTTGTGTTCTTCACAGTACTGTTTCACTCCTCTTAGTAGTTAACAGCCTTATACCATTTTTGTGTGTGATAAGCGCATGAGTTTGTTGCTTTTAAAAAAAATTATTTTTAGAACAGCTGAAGATTTATAAAAGAATTGTGATGATAGTACAGTGAATTCCCACATATATCACATCTAGGCAATTGCCCCAACTATTAACCTTACCATCTGTATGGTACATTTGTTAAAATTAGCACACCAATACCGATACATTAATAAAAGTCCATACTTGATTCAGATTTTATAGGTCTTTGTCTAAGCACCTTTTTCTGTTCCAGAATCCCCTCCAGGATACCATATCAGCTTGACTTCATGTTTTCCCAAATTCCTCTTGACTATGAGTTTTTAGGCATTCCTGGTTTTTGGTGACCTTCACAGTTTTGAGGACTGATGGTCAGGTTATTTTATAAAATGTTCCTCAACTAGGGTTTTCCTGATGTTTTCCTCAGGTGTAGACTGGGAGTATGGGTTTGAGTAGGAAGACATGAGAGATAAAATGTCCTTTTATCATCTCATATCAAGGGTACAAACTATTAACATGATTTATCACTGTTAATGTTGACCTTAATTATAAATCAGTTGGCTGAGGTGGTGTCTGTTTGACTACTACAGTGCAAATCCTCCCCTTTCCAAACTGTACCCTTTGGAAGAAAGTCACTACATGCATCCCACATTTAATGGGTGGGAAAAGGGAAATATTTATACACATTATTTTGAATTTTTCAGTATGGGAGATATATCTATTCTCATTCATTCAATCACTTATACTAATGCAGACTCACTGACATTTATTTTATACTTTGGATTAAAATTCAATAATGTTTCATTTTGTTGTTCACCTTATTTCAGCATTGGCCTTTAGATCTTTCAGTTGGCTCCTGTGTCCATTTGACATATTACCCTCATTATGTGTGCCTGTGTATGTGTGTTTTAGCACTTGGTTACTTCTGGCAACACAATTTTCTCCAGGCTCGTCTTGTATATTCCTTTCCCCAATTTCAGAATCAACCAATATTCCAAAAAGGCCTAGTTTATTTTACTGAAGAATGGTATTAGAGATGAAGACCTGAGCACTAACTTTGCTCCTTGATAATGAGTGTCCTTGCTTCTAGTCCCTTGAGCAGGCAAAGCAAAAAATTTGTTCTGTGCATATATATCATCATAAATAAAATAAATATTTCTGTATGTAACAATCTGTTATCTATATTAAGCTAAACATAAGTTCATACAGGTATCTCCTACTCTTAATCCATTATCACACAGATTCTTCTTTCCTTTGCTCATGTACAAATTTCCACTCTAACAGTGAGAAACTGACTCCCACCAGAATACATGTATAGCAGCACTATAACTGTTAAACCATACCCTCTGGGAAACAATTTTACGAACTAGATTACAGTGTTCATATATACTATATAGGTTCTTTGATTGTAGTCTTAAAGAGTAATTTCCCAAGTTACCAAAATTAGCAATTCACCCCTTCCCCTCTTCGTGTGACACTGTTTCAAACATCAGCAATGCAGTCAGATTGCTTTTTTATATTCTACATTCCATCCTGGTATGATGATTTTTTTACCTCCTAAATGATTTTTTAAAAATCTGTATGTATAAAATTCACTTTCTCTGTAAAGTTCGATCAGTTTTGACAAATACACAGTATGATGTATGCACAATTACAGTATCATGGAGAAGAGTTTTACTGCCTTAAAAACAACCCTGTACTTCACACATTGTGGGGAAAACAAGTTCCTATGGCCAAGATTCCACCTGAACCTAAACTACTTGGTGTAACTACTGGCCAACTGCTAGGCTATGTATGCCTCCACACCCACAGGCAATAAGCTGTTATTGACTGAGTCACTATATATAGAGCTCTGCCCAGTGCTCTGGGTGGGCACAGACAAAGGAGGATTACAGACCTGCAGATTGATGCAGACTTAATTCCAGTGCTCAACCTATCACAGGGAGAACAAAGCTGGGTAATAAACACTTTTACCCCAAGAATGTTCCATTGTCGTTCCTCTGTCTCACTGAATCCATAGTGAACTTGCCCAAGGCTGAAACCCATTGGCTAGACACACACCAACCCTCTTACTTCCTCTGGCAAACACTGAATTTTTTAAAATTATTACTGTAGTTTTGTTTTTTACAGATATTTAGAATCATACAGAATCATGCCTTTTAAGACTGGCATCTTTCACTTTAACAATATACATTTAAGATTCATCCATGTCTTTCAGTGGCTGAATAGATATTTTTATTTCTAAATAATATTTCATTGTATGGATATACCACATTTTGCTATCCATTTTATTATGATGGCATCTTGGTCACCATTTTTGGCAGTTAGGAATAAAGGTGCTACAAGCATTCACATACAGGATTTTGTGTGGACATTGTCTTCCTATCAGTTGTATAAACACCTAGGAGGACCTTTACTACATCATATAGTAAAACTACGTTTAGCTTTGTATGAAACTGCCACACTGCCTTCCAAAGTGGCAAAATGCATTTCCACCAGCAATGAATGAGAGATCCTGTTGCCTCATATCCTTGCCAGGAAATTAGTATTGTTAGGTTTTTGGATTTCAGCCATTCTAATCGGTATGCAGTGTTATCTTACTGTTGTCTTAATTTGCAATTGAATGACAAACTATTATAAAGACTTTTTAATAATAACTTCACATTAAAATTTTTTGTACTGGTGAAGGTTTAGTCTCCTAAGTAGATCCTCACTGATTCTCTATATTTGCACTAATCCAACATGGTAGTAACTAGCCTCATGCAGCTAACTGAAAACTTGAAATATGACCAGTCAAAAATGATATGTGAAGTATAAACTATCCACAAGCTGTGAAGATTTCATATGAAAAACAGCATTAAAAATCTCCAATAAGTTTATACTTATTAAATGATAAAATAATATTTTTATATAGCAAAGCTAATTTTACCCATTCTTTATAATTTACTAGGAAATATTACATTGCAGATGTAGTTCACATTGTATTTCTGTTGGACAATGCCACTCTATTCCAAATTTTTAACCACAGTAGTTCTTATAACACAAACCTAACCCCACTACTTCTTTATTTAATTTCTCATCTTCAATGAGCCTCATAAACATCAAACATCCAAACAATTAGGTGTGCTTTAGATTCTGGCTCCTCCTAAATCTTGTTTCTGTGCTTACTCTTGGGAGTAACACTTATCTTCCAAACACCAGGTGCATGTGTATGTGCATGCATGCATGCAGGTGTGTATGCATACATTCATATATGTATGAAAATGGGAGGAGGAAATGTTATTTTTCTATACTGAACAGGTAATACATTCACATGACTCAAAATTCAAAATGGGATGAAAGTACATGAAAAATTGTCCACCCCTGCCCTTCAGCTACAAATTTCTTTGCTAAGAAACAATATTATTCATTCTTCTATGTCTTTCAAGAGACATTCAAACACTTTAAAAAACAACTGCATATGAAAGAAATTAAAGAAGACATAAATTGTAAGTCAAAACCTATTCCAAGTTCATGAATTAGAAGACTTAACTATAGCTAAGACTTCAATACTACCCAAAGTGGTCTACAGAGTCAATACAATCTCTATCAAAATCCCAATAACCTTTTTTTGCAGAAATAGAAAAACCCATTATAAAATTCATAAGGAATCTCAAAGGACCCTGAATAGCCAGAACAATCTTTAAAAAAGAGCAACTCTGTAGGACTCACATTTTCTGATTTCAAATCTTACTACAAAGTAGTTATCAAAACCGTGTGCTGCTAGCATAAAGGCAAACATAGACCAATGGAATACAAGAGAGTCCAGA